GTCTGAGCGTTACTGCCACGGCCTGGCTGAGCAGGCATGGCTTTCACTGGCTTGTACCCGCTTGTGAGAGCCCACATCTGCATCTCCTTCCGTTCTTCAGGGGCCTCCATCTGAGGGCTGGCAGCCCTGGTGGAAGTCTTTCCACCTTGGGAATGGGCATGGGCAAGCACTATGAAAAGTTCTTCTCAGAGATGTATGCTAAACACTCAGCAGAACCACAGCCAAGACTCGCTGGGAGCACCACTATCAAACACTCCTTAAATTTTGCTCCTTGTGTCCCCGATCCTCCTAGCTCCGCCGGGCACACCCCACACCCGGCTTCTCTGCCCCATCATAGGTTGGGCCCAGCTCTGGGATCCTGCAGCTTTCCTGTCTGATGTCTGCATTCGTATCTGCCTTCTCTATTAAACTTAGAATCCCACGCAGGGCACCCTGTGAGGGATCCACAGGACCCACTGCAGGGTGTGAGTAACACAGCACACAGTAGGCGCTCCTTAAGAACGTGTAGAAATAAGCACAACACACAGTGGGGACTCCAGAAGAGTGTGTGTAAGCTGGGGTTTGAGCATGGCTCAGCAGTTAAATGCACGAGCTGCTTTTTCCCCCGAGGACCCAGGTTCGAGTCCCAGCACCCATACCGTGTCTTGCAACCTTTTGTAACTCCAGTTCCAAGGGATCTGACGCCCTCTTCTGGACTCCTTGGGCACCATGCACACGTGTGGTATACATACATGTAGGCAAAGCACTCACACACATTAAATAAAATATTTTTAAGAGAATGAAGCAGATTAACAATAAGAACGTATTTAAGCAGACACAGCACACGATGGATGCTCCAATAGAACATGTTTAGGAGACACAAAAGTTCAATGGAAAGACGATGTTCAAAAAAGTTCAAAGGAGACCTATATCTGGACTCCTGACTTCCACTCTTATTCCTTCTGTTCTAATGAGTTGTGTGACATGAGATATTTCCCCCCAGGGCTCAGCATCCTTGCACATTAGTTCCTTGGACACTCTAGTTCCCTTTCTGCTCACATCATGGGGATACTGTAAGAGCAAATGAGATACAGTACGTCTTTTTTTTTTTCTTTTTCTTTTTCAAGACAGGGTTTCTTTCTCTGTCCAACAGCCCAAGTTGTCTGGAACTGGCTTTGTAGACCAAGCTGGCCTCCAACTCACAGAGATCTGCTTTCCTCTGCCTCCGGAGTGCTGGGCTTAAAGGCCTGTGCCCCCACGGCTCAGCTGATACAGTAAGTATGGCTTTGAAAGGTCAGTCCCATAAAGCCTTTGAGTTCTTGTGACCTTTGGCCATCACGTACATGAGCATCACCTGGGGAAAAGTGAGCTAAGGGTCTCTGCTCTCTGACTGACTTATGGGGACACAGGTCTAGGGCAGGAGCTAACATGCCAGGCATGCAGGGAGAATGCTACACCCAGAGCTCGCTAAGCACCCGCCTAGGGGCACAGCTTGGGTGTCCTGACTCTTCCTCCACAGGAAATAAGGGTTGGCGATGGTGGAGGAGGGCTGTCTGTCATGAAGGGGGCCTCTAGGGGGAAGCCAGTCTCTCAGATGGGAACGTGTCCCATCTGACTTTTAGGAAGTAAGTGTTCTCCTGAAAAACCACAGATCTTTGTCACTTATTTCCCTGCTTGAGAATTCCTTCCAATCTGTGATTCTGAGAACCATCGTGGGCATCTGTGGCCTGTGTCAGTTACAGCGTCACCAGGACGGCTCCAGGGGGGTTAATTGCATCTAAGCGTTGGAAAGCGACTCTCTAATTAAACTTTGAAATGGAATGGCAAAATCACTGGGTGACAGACTGTCTGTGGGAGGGTCCCCTGAGGTGCTCTTCGTTTGTCGCTAATCATCTTCTCGGCCCAGGCTGTGCCTGTGTGAGGTGGGGCCCATGTTCAGACCTCACTCTCTACAACTCTGGATTCCCTTGGAGGTTTGTCAGACAGCCCCCCCACAGTGCTCTGTGCCCTGCCTGAACCCCACAGTTGGGCCTGGATGTCTTAGAAGACTTTCATTGCTTGTCTTCGGCTCCCTGATTTCTATTTAAAAACAAAAGGTTATTTCTATACTTAGAACCATGACATCAAAGAAATTTGAACGTCGGAAGTTAATTCTGGATGTTTGTGAGTATTGCCCAAGGAACTTGAGACCATTGGCACCAGCCATCAGATTCCCTCACACCGGAATCCTCAGGTTTGTTCAGTGTCCCAAGCTAGGTCCCTGCCAGACACTTTTGGGGGTACCAGGTGAGTCTACAAAGCACCCTGCCATCAGGCTCCCTGCAGAGTGGGTTCAGCAGACACTTCACACCACCCAGAACCATCCCGTTTGCTCCTCATCCCTCCCTTTCCATTGCATGAGTGAGAACATTGAGTTGCCTCCGATGAAGCGGCTTCCTGAGCCCCTCGAAGCCAGGCTTCCCTGTGTCCAAGACGGTACTTTCTGTCTTTAACCCACGGTAGGCTGGCTGCCATTAGAGACTGGAGAAGGTGGAGTTTATTTCTGCCAGGGGCCGAGTTCCCAGACAGGTTGGCTTTGGAGGTCATTTGAAAAGGGGAGGGCCACTGCTGTCTCATTGCTGCCACTAAGTGCAGAAGTAACCTAAGGGAGGCAGGCTCACTTAGGCCTACAGTTTGAGGGGACACCTTGCATCACCGCAGGGAAGGCGCGACAGGAGGAGTCAGTGCGTCCGCGGTCAGGAAGCTGGCGCTCACTTCCTTCTCTCTTTATGCAGTCTGGGACCCATAGTCCACGGAATGGTCCTGACCACGCATAGGGCAGGTCTTCCCGTATCAATTTACTTAATAAAAAAAACCCTCACAGACATGCCCAGAGGTTTGCCTCCTAGGCAACTGTAGAACCTGTCAAGTTGACAGTCAGTATTAACTACCACATGAGGTACCAGAAGAACTACAGAGAACAAGTAAGTGGAGTTTAACTTTGGGGACCAGAAAGTTAGTGGGAGGAACTTTTCATTTTAGGAGGCAGAGGCAGGTGGATCTCTGTGAATTCGAAGCTAGCCTGGTCTACAGAGTGAGTTCCAGGACAGCTGGGGCTACACAGAGAAACCTTGTCATGAAAAATAAAAAACAAAGACAAAAAACAAAATTCTTGTTATATTTGTGTAATTATTGTGTGTGTGCACGCGTGAGTGTGTGTGCCACAGCATACATGTGGAGGGCAGATGACAAGTTGAGGGTTAGATTCTCTTCTACCATGTGGGCACCAGGGCTGGCCCTCCAGACATCTAACTTGGTGGTAAGCGTCCCTTTATCCACTGAGCTCTCACTCTGGCCCCTTCTTTTCTCATTTCGAAAGGATTCCTTTACCCTGCAATAAATGTTTACCAGAGTCGGTGTTAGTTACCTCTCTCTTGCTCTGATCAAACACCATGATCAGGAGCAGCTCAAGAAAGAGTTTATTTTTGCCTGTGGTTCCGGAGGGTAAATCCATCACGGAGAGGATGGCATGTCAGCAGGCCACCAAGTGGAAAGCTGGCTGATTCCGTGTCATCACACGGGGAGCCAGAGGGCGGAACTGGAAGTGGGGTAAGACCACACACTCTCAAAGCCATGCCCCACCCCGCCCCGCCCCAGTGACACACTTCCTCCAGCAAGGCTTGGTTCTAGAGCTGTATCAGTCCCAAATAAACACACAGGAGGCTATATTAATTATGAAGCTGTTGGCCTTGCTTGTTTCTTACTAGCTAGCTCTGACTTAAGTAATTACCCCATAATTGTTAATCTAAGTATGTCTCTTACCGGAGAGGTTTCCGGGCTTCCTACCCCAAAGGCGTTACATCTCGAACTCTCCTCTGTTTCTCCTTCCCAGAATCCTCCTGGACTCCTAGCCCCTCCTATCTAGATTCCCTATTGGCCAGACAGTGCTTTATTGGCATAAGACTTCCCCAACACCAAAGGTTCCACAGCCTTCCCAAACAACGCCACCAACGGGACCACGTGTCCAAATACATGAGCCTGTGGGGACCACGTGTCCAATTGCATGAGCCTGTGGGGACCACGTGTCCAATTGCATGAGCCTGTGGGGACCACGTGTCCAATTGCATGAGCCTGTGGGGACCACGTGTCCAATTGCATGAGCCTGTGGGGACCACGTGTCCAATTGCATGAGCCTGTGGGGCCGTTCTCTTTCATATTCCAAGCACCCATCGTGTACCAGGGGCTGGAGTGAACAAGTGGGACTAGGAGGTTGCTTCTGTAGTCGAGAAGGATGGGGATGTCCTATGAACAAGCAAGATGACTGACTCAGCTCTGGCTGGGGTCAGTCAGTGTGGCAGTGGATGGATGGCAAAGCAGGTAACTGGGGGGGGGGAAGCTTGTAGACCCTTGAGAAAGGCCATGGGGGGGTTCTTTCTGAGTGGAGAGGTTTGGAGCAGCCTGAGGTGGAGTCTCACTCCTGTAGACTCTTCCATCTGAATCTCCATCTCCCATAATTGCCTCATTGAGACTTTAATACATGTCCTTAGCCGAGGTCACACAGGGTGTCTGAGGAGCCACCCCAGGAATATCACAGAATTGTCTTATCCGATGACTACTGGGGATACAGCTTGTTACCCTGCTCAATGCTACTTTATGCAGATGTCCCTGTGACAAATGCATCCTAGGGCACTGGGCCAAGAAAATTGGTTCTCTTGGCATGCATTTGAACCCCAGTTCCAGAGAGTAAGAACACCATGGCTGCTGTCCTTGCCTAAAGACTCTGGCGGGGAGGGAGCTCAGAATGAGGGTGGGTTGTGATTCTGTAGCATTACCTGGAAGACTGTGTCATTGCCCTCCCAGCTTGATCTAAGTGGACCATAGGTGTGTGTGGTGTGTGTGTGTGTGTGTGTGTGTGTGTGTGTGTGTGTGTGTGTGTGTGTGTAATTGTAAGCTATTCTTTTGGAAAAAGAAAGCCAGGGAGGTGAGTGGTTAAATCAGTCAATATGTGGTTTAGACGAAGCGCTAAATAGTTTGTACCTGTATCTCAAATGCCATTTGCCAAACTGTTCTGTGACACACAAAGCCTCGAGGAATGCTCACGGGTGTTCCAAAGGCAGGATACAAATGGTGTGCATCATCTACATCAGAAAAATCACAAATATCTTTCTATCACTAATGATAGCACATGAGCAGTGGGACAGCAGAACAGGGTTATGGGTTCTGAAGCCACAGCCCCCGGGTCCCATTTAACCTGAGAAATGACCTGATCTGCCTGTGTGTACACATGTGCATGCATGTATCCGTGCATGTGCGTGTGTGTTTGTTCATGTACATGTGTGTATGGGTGTATGTGCATATGTGTGTGTTCCTGTGAGTGAGTATGCACAAATGCGTGATGGGAGGATAACCTTGTGTGTCATTCTCAGGGACTGTCCATCTTGTTTTGCTTTTGTTGTTTTGGAGACAGTCTCTCATTGGCCTGGAACTTTCCTAGTAGGCCGGGCTGGCCAACAAGCTCCAGGAATCCCCTGCCACCCCTCCCACGCCCAGCAATACAAGCACACATTGCCATGCCCTGCTTTTTACATGAGAGCTGGGGATTGAACTCAGGTCCTCATGGTTGCAAGGTAGGCACTCTGCTGACTGAGCTATCTTCTCAGCACACTTGCTTGATCTCTTTAGTGGGCTGTAGAAGCTGCCTCTGGTGCTTAGGACAGTGGTGGGGAGAGGGGAGTCCACAGCTTGGAGTAATGCCTCTTCTCATGTCTCTTTGGGAAAGGGTCTCCCAACCTGATGACAGTGATGGGAAGTCACATGACGGATCACCTTCTGTAGGAAGTGTGACAGTCGGCAACAGGCCGTGCATGTCTCCTACCCGCTGCCAAGCTGTGTGCTTCCTGGGTGACAATTGCCCATCTTTGTTACGCCTTTTATCTCGTAATTTTAACATTTATTGGTGCAGTTACTCAATGTTTACTTTTTATTAAGCATATGGATCAAATTTTGATCCCTTCTCACAGCCATTAATTCTTCTACAAGACTTTTTTTTTTTTTTGGCCATCTCCTTTTGTATAAATGATACGGTGTGAGCCTCCGTTGGCACCTTGACAAAACAGTATCATTTAAATAACACATCATGGCCATACAAGTTTGGGAAATGCTTCCTAGGGTTATGGTTTAGTTGCCTGTGACCCCCGTGAGCGGGGCAGCAGGCCGGCAGCACCAGCCGGCCTGCTCCTCTGAAGTAGCAACTCCCTTTGCGTGAGAATAAGATCCTGCAAGCCATGGTGGCATTGTGGTTTGATTTCAGAGCTCAGGAGGAAACAGCCACTGGCTAGAAGCTCTTTGTGAGATGGTTTAGGTGGAGAAGCTGTAAACCCCAGTGTTCTGCTGTTTCCCACACTTCCGCCCAGCTGTCCCGCTGTCCCTGCAGGAGCTGTGTGTGGAAGAGACTACAGAAAGAAGGGGGAGATGAACTTGCATTTCCCCTTTTCTGTCCAACTTCCTCTTTCCCTGTAAGCTTCTCTCTCCATCTCCCCCCTCTCTCTTTCCCTCTCTCTTTCCCCCCCCCTCTCTCTTCCCCCTCCTCTCCCCCCCCCCACTCTCACTCTCGGCTATTACAACACCACAGAGAGAAGCAGGGCTCCACCCTGACTGTTGACAGACCCCAACCGACCAACAGCTATTTTTATGTCTAATCACAGAAACAGGAGGCCCAAATCTCCACACTAGAAGAGAGCCGTGGACATGGCCACCTTATGACCAATAGAGGGAGGAAGAAAATCGACAGGATGGTATTCAAGCCTAGTGAAAACTCAGGGCATTCCCTGTGCATCTGGTAGACCGTGTTACCTGAGCAAGAGTGTGTACAGGAGGTAGTGATCCCATCTCAAAACAGGAGGCCGGAGAGCAAATCTGGGGTCAAACTCTGGCTTCTGTAACAAGGGGTTTCTTCAGGACCTAACCCAGTATCTCCGGAGAGGAGCCCAAATCCTGTCCAAGGCTGGGTTCCATTGATAAAGATTCTAACACCTCCTATCACCACACTGGGTCCAGGCTTCCAGGCTTCAATAATAATAATAATCTTTTCTTGTTTGCTCTATGGTCAGGGTTCTAGACATGGTGCTAGCTCATTGTACACCAAACACATCACACACACACACACACACACACACACACACACACACCTGTGAATTACAAATCCCAGGCTCCTTTGTAGCTAAGGGATGCCACATGACTGAGCTCTGGCCAATGGGATGTGGGGAAAATGATGTGCAGGATGCCCTTCCTACATGGCCATGGAAACCCATCCTGCAATCCAATCCCCCAGACTCTTTTCCTTCCTCCACCTCCAAAGCTGATGAGCTGTAGGGTTGGTTAAATGAATGCACACACCAGAGTGACTTCACCCATGTTGGATGGGGGCATACTGTAGGAAAAGCCAACTGGGATTGGAGAGTTTAGCCTCCAGATGGCTACTCTGACCTCAACAAGCACTTCCCTGCTATTAAGGCAGACGCCTCTGTAGACCAGGGAGCCACATTAGGCTCAGGTCTCTGTAGGAGAGGACAGTAGCATCAGATGGAAAGCCAGGCATGTGGCAGAGAGGAGGTTGTCTTCCTGACTGTGTGTGTGGGGGGGGGGAGGGCTGGGGGACCTGGGGTGTTGAGAGATGGTCTGGTGAAATCCCTAATCACACTTGCTAAAGCACATAAGCTTGACGGGCAGTAGAGCGAGGTGGAGAAACGGGGGTCTCAGCAGAAGACTCTAGATAGAATCAGAGGAACAGAGGCCAAAGTCAAGGTCTATGCTGGGCCCAGGTCAAAGGCGCTCAAGTGGAGAAGGATTCGGGTCAAACCCCTTGGGGGAGCTCCTCGAGGCTGGACCACGATGTGAGATGAAGGTACACTAGCGCACCCTGTTTCCTAAATCAGAAACCCACCGATGTCCTTATGGAGGAAGGGGCTGACCTTCTTTGTCTGCCCACACAATCGTCCAGGTACCTTCTGGGTGCCTTTTCCTGACTGGGGGTGGAGGCGCACCCGGTCCGACGTCTCTATGTTACAGCAGAACTCAACAGAGGGAGGGAAGAGGTGGGAATAGAGGAGAGTCTGGAAGCCTGAGCAGGTGGCTGTGATCACAGGAGCTGCCCAGAATCGGAAGTGAACCCCCTCCTCCTCGGCCAGTCAGAGCGAAGCTGTGCTTTGCTCATTCTATGGGGAATGAATGCCTCTTTGTCCCTCTTCCTCTGGGAAGGACAATGTCAGGGCATGGTCCCTTTATGCTCAGGGGCCAGCAGGCTCTCAGCAGATGTTAAATGCAGTAACATGCACACACTTCAGTAGCTTTGGTGTTCACTGGCAAGGGCCCCACGAATACACACACACACACACACACACACACACACACACACACACACACACACACAGAGCCGTGAGGTCTGGCAGATGCAATTAGCCTCTGGGTCCCTCAGAATTAGATGCAGGTGGCTAATTGTCCATGCCAGGAGGCAACTGTGGGCACAATTAGTCATGTCTCTTTTCCCACTTGGGGCTAATACTGGGGGGTGGTGATGAGGGAGGGAGTCTGAGAAGCCCAATTTCCCCTTAGCCTTGGGCTGTGACAGGTGACTTTTGGTGGGGCTGTTCATCCTGTGGGCTTGGGGGAGGCTGTGGGAGTGGCCAAGGGCAGGAAGGCAGGAGAGGGGGAGGGGGCAGCTGTTTTTGAGAAGTCCCTGCATTCGCCTCCTCACCCTTTCAGCACACTGGAATCTAGATAGTGATGCTGGGCTCCACTTGTCCTCAAAGCCCTATGCCTGCACCGTAGCTCCAAAGCAACTCACTTAGCAGGAGGTGTCTTCATGACATCCGTTCTCATGGGGCAGAGTGGTGGAACCCAAGCCTGCTCACGACCAGGTCCCTAGGTTGCTTTTATGTTCCTTCCTATAGCTTTTTCTTTTTATTTCTCTTTTTAATTTTTATTTTATTTGCATTTATTTATTTATTTTGTTTTCCTGAGACAGGGTCTCACTATGTAGCCCTGGCTGGCCTCAAACTCAGAGATCCACCCACCTCTGCAAACCCACTCAGTTGACAGTGGAATGCAATGGCATCAGGAGCTCCAAGCAAGAACCACATTGCCTAAATAAATAAATAATAAGAAATAAACCCCCTCCATGAGTTGATCAGCCCATACATAGAACCATGAAGATAACATTTACTGCCTTTTACTATGTGTGTGTTCACATGTGTGCAGGTGCACATGTGTGCCGGTGCATGTGGAAGCCTGAGGTTGGCATAAGCGGTCTTTCTCCGTCCCTCTCCACCTTATTCACTGGTGCAGGGCACCTCACTGGACCCTGAGTTCATCGGTATGGTTGGTCTAGCTAGCCGTCTTGCTCTGGGCTTTCACGGTTCTCCACTTGCAAGGGTGGAACTACACGAGGCTGTCATGACCACCCCGCACCTGAACTCCAGTCCTCATTCTTGGGAGGCGAGGACTTTAACCACTTTTCCATCTACCCAGATCACAAGTTACTGTGTGAGGTCATGCAATTTCGAGACTGAGGTGTAGCAATAGCTGACCATGAAAGTCCAGGGATGGAGGGCTGCTTTCAGACATGGCTGGATCTGAGACTCAAATAACATTCTCTGGTTTTGTTTGCTTTCTCATGTGGCACTGTCTTCCATATGTCCATCCCAGTGACCCTATGGGCAAAATGTTACTTTCTTCTCTCTTCCTTTCCTCTTAATTTAGAAAAATTCAGCAAATAATTCTTCTTTTAATTTATTTATTATGTGTACAGCATTCTGCCTGCATGTATGCCTGCAGGCCAGAAGAGGGCACCAGATCTCATTGCATATGGTTGTGAGCCACCATGTGGTTCCTGGGAACTGAACTCGGGGCCTCTGGAAGAGCAGCCCGTGCTCTTAATTGCTGAGCCATCTCTCCAGCCCTCAGCAAATAATTCTTGACAATCAAGTTTGAGACAAGCATATGACAGCGGGGGTGACTGTCATCACTTGATGACTCTATGTGGATGACTTCAAAGCAGAGTAGAGAAGGATGGGTGTGACCTTCCAAACCCAGGCCTTCTCCAGGGGAAGGCAGAAGAGGGTGTGCTCCAAATGGGAGCTGTTCCTCCAGGTCCTAGAGCCATTTTCCTCTGGGTTCTAGAGCCGCATGCTCCCCACTTGTAGAGTTTGGGTCCCCTGAGGCTTCCTGGAAATGGAGATCCTGACTGGAAGGAGTGGGAAGAGCCCCTGGGAGACAAGGCCAGAAGAAGAAGAAGCTGCTTCTCCTGAACCTGCAGTGGATCTGAGACTCTGACTGCCCCGAGGGAGGTCTAGCCTGATTACTTTACCAGTGGTGTATTGGTTTTCTCTGTTGATTATTCTCAAAGGCCCTGAGGATATCTAAAGCCAAAGGAGTTTTACTTTGAGCAGGAACACAGGGCAAAACTCAAAGCAATATTAAAAAGTAAGAAAAACTTGCCGGGCAGCGGTGACACACTTGGGAGGCAAAGGCAGGCAGATCTCTGTGAGTTCAAGGCCAGCCTGGTCTACAAAGCTACAGAGAAACCCTGTCTTGAAAAACCCAAATAAAACAACAACAACAACAATAATAATAATAAAGAGAAACTTGGGCTGGGGACATAGCTCAGTTGGTAGAGTACTCACCTAGCATGTGCAAAACCCTGAGTTTGATCTCCAGCACCACATAAAGCTAGTGGCAAATGCCTATAAGCTCAGCTGTTGAAATGTGAAGGCAGGAGGGTCAGAAGTTTCTAAATAGTGACTTCCAGGCCTGGTTCTGCTACATAGGACACTGTCCCAAAAACAAAAGCAAAATTTAAAAATTTTCAATAGAAACTGAGTACTGAAAGTAAGAAGACCACAACTCTTTCCATGATAAAAGCTACTTAATTCTTAAGCTGGATTCTTAATTTTTCAGATCTGGAGGACAGTAATTGGTAATTCATCCATGTGAGGATGAATCTTTCCATCAACCCATCCATCCATCCATCCATCCAACTATCATCCATCCATTCACATATCCAACCACTATTCATCAACCCATCCATCCATCTATTCATCCATCCATCCATTCATCATCCATCTATACATTCATCTATCCCCCATTCACCTATCTACCATCCATCCATCATTCATTCACCCATCTACCCACCCATCCACTCACCCATGCATCCATGCATTCATGTACCCATGCATCCACCCACCCATCCATCCATCCATCAGTCATCCAGCCATCATTCATCCACCCACCCACTCACACATCCATCATCCTTGTGTCCATTCCATCCAATCCACCTACTCATCCATCTATCCTTCCACGGAGCCATCTACCCATTACTTTATCCACTTAATGAACTACTCAACAGGTCCTGTCCATAACAACATTAGTGAGAGAAAAACACCAATGCCTAAGAAAGGCCTAGAGAAAAATCTTCAGAGCAAGGAAAAGGTTAAAATAAATCAAAATAAAATTGGAGCTGGCTGTGGGGCTTATTCTTAGTGACACATGTAAGCAATAAAGCAGCCATGCTATGTAATGGACCGCTGAGGATTTTTCGCTCTCAGTCAGTCCGAGATGTACCGAATCCAATATCCTATCAGTGATTTGATTTGTTAATAATCAAATTGCAAATACCTTTTCATTTGGCTTCAAAAAGCAAACAGCCATTCGGAATAATTTTTATGGGTCTTGGAATGCAGAATAAACTTAAAATATTGTGTTTGCAAGTCCTACTGGCATGACCGTATTATAATTTATATTGGCCTATTTTGATGTACAGTGGCATAATGAAACTTTAAAAAATATATTCTGCAAAGCTGCATCTAAGCCCAAGCCGGCAGCACAGATTAATGTAAGAACATCATGGGGATTCTTTGCATATTTTGTACAGAAATTCTAGAGAATGACTGTTCACCAAAACTTCAGCATTGTGGAATCTGCGGTCTTTCAGGTTTATCTCTTGTCAGCTCTGTCTGAGTCCTTCTGAGCCCTAGTCTTCTTCCCCCAGCCCCCCAGCCCCCAAACTCCACCATCCCATGTTCTGAACACGTTATGTGTACACATGTCTGTATTCAGTATTCTATTTCCTCGGGCAGTGATACTCTTCCATTCTTTTCTGCTTGGATGGAATCTTTCATTTTCCAGCTTCCAGCTCAAATGCCATCCCTGTTGGGACTTAACTCTGACACTCCTGGATGTCATCACATCCTCTCTTCCACAGAATTTTTTTTCTTTTTTTTGTTTTTTCGAGACAGGGTTTCTCTGTATTGTTTTGGAGGCTGCCCTGGAACTCGCTCTGTAGACCAGGCAGGCTTTGAACTCACAGAGAACCGCCTGCCTCTGCCTCCCAAGTGCTGGGATTAAAGGCGTGTACCACCAACGCCCGGCCAGAATTTTTTTTTCATAGACAGGGTTTCTCTGTGTAGCTTTGTAGACCAGGCTGGCCTTGAACTCACAGAGATCCGCCTGCCTCTGCCTCCCAAGTGCTGGGATTAAAGGAGTGCGCCACCACTGCCTCGGCTTCCTCCACAGAAATTTGAAAGGATCTCTATGATAGCTCTTGTCACAGTGTGCTATTATTTGTTTACACTCACAAGACTGACTTCTTTGACAGCCCAACAAAGATAGGCTCTGTTTCTAAGCCTCAGCACTGTGCCTGCAGATATTAGTGTCCCCCTATAGATATTAGTGTCCCAGTGCCGTGGGTGATGGATGGATGGGTGGACTTGGGTAGTGAGGGAGCGGATGCAGGGAAGGAGGGGTGGGTATGTAGGATATGCTGGGAGGGGAGTAAAAGGAGGATGCGTGGGTTGCCAGTGGTGGGTGGGCAGATGGATGCATGAAAGAATGGAGGGCGGTCTGGAGGAGAGATTGAAAGAACAGATCCTTCTAGAACATGAAAATCTCCCTGGAGCTGGAAGCTTTCAAACACAAGCAATAGAGAGGCCTTGGAACATAGATGGGCTGTTAGATAAGCTAATCTGTTAGCTTTTTCCAGCTATGGAGTCCCTCCTATTACATTCCTGTAGGGTATGCCTCCACACAGATATTGTGTCATAGAGGCTGGCTGCTGTCTGAGCTTTTCTATAAGGGCCAACCAGGAAGAGCCTTGATAAGAAGATAGCATTGAAACAGAATTCTAGGGAAAGAACTTCACAGACACGGGGAAGCGGTGGTGGTAGGGGGTGGCGATGACAATATAACCTGAGGTGAAGGCATGCTTGGACCGTCTAGAAACAGCCAAAGGACCTATGTGGCTGAGGCAGAGGAGTGGCTGAGACTGTCCACCTCATGGCTTCCATGTTTTGTATCTATTTTAGAAGGGTTTGCAGACTCAGCACCACTTAATTAGAGCCTTACTCTTAGGTCTTTGGTTTAATTAGAATCCATTGCACATGCACCATGGTGGATCACAGTTTCCAACTTGGTTGGATTGAGACTCACCTGGTAGACTGGAAACGCACATGTCTGGGTGGATCTATGAGGATGTTTTGATTGGTTCAATCCTCCGATGACACCAAATCTGAGGCAGTACTGTGAGAGGCAGAGTGGAGATGGAGGACATTGGTCACTTTGGGCATGTAGTTAGCAACTGGCTCTAACCCCGCTCCTTTTCCGTCACCGTCTGTTCTGCTTTCTCTAGCGCATACTCCCTCCGTGATCAGTTTCTGCCTCACCACACACAGGTCCAGAGTCTATGGAACAATGACTATGGATCGAAATTTCTGAAACCGAGAACGAAAATACGTTGTGTATTCAGGTTTGTCATAGGTATGGAAATAACAAACAAGATATGCAGTAAGGCTGGAAATTATTTCTAATGGAAAAAGAATTGTCCCAAGGATGCTTACTGAGTAGAGTTTGACACCATTTCACTAAGCGTCACCAAATGCAAAATTGCCATTTGTACAAGAGTTGTTACCTGTTTCTTTATGTCTGTTGGTCTATGTTACTTTAACCACCAGTGTTTAAGTATTTAAGTATAGAAACACAAGCCTTTCTGTAGCAGAACACAGCTTCTAAAAACAGTTTAGAAAAAACATGACACACTCATGTCCCATGGTATCTATTTCTATGTTTGCCCATTTGTTTGTTACAGTTGTTTGGCTTCTGGTGAATGTAACTTTTTTTTGTATTTTCTAATTGGTCATTGTATGTATAGGAACACTGTGTGTGTGTGTGTGTGTGTGTGTGTGTGTGTGTGTGTGAGCATATATATGTGTGTGTTGTGTTTATGTGTGTATGTATGTGTGGTGTATGTATATGTATGTGCTTGTGAGTGTGTGTGTGTGGTGAAGGCAGCCAACCATGAGCTGAAACCTCAGACACTATGAGCAACGATGTCTCTTTCCCCCGTTATGGTTTCCTCTGGTGCTAACCACAGTGATGGAGCACTTCCAACATGGACTGTCACATCTGACCAACGACGAGGTCTTGTAGCCCCTGCCTTCACTGGAGGCACTGCTCATGACTCCATGTAGGAAACGGATCAGTAGCCGCTTCTGGCCACAATTATATTGGCAAAGAGTTACGCATAGACTACACAGGATGACTAGACTCCAAAACATACTGGCCTGAAAGCAAATTTCCATCTGTGTAAGAATTCACACTGACAGCCCCCTAAACAACAGGGCTGACTCTGCAGTTGAAAGTCTACAGCCAACAGTTTCCCCTGGAAACAATATCAAGACTCCCGGAGGTGTCAGTGTTGCTCACAGCCCATTGGCTGGAACTTAATTACCTGATTGCCTCCAAATACAAAGAAGGCTTGGAGAAGTTTGTTTCTAATCCAATGGTCAGAGACCTAGCTAACATTGGGCTTGGGAGCGGGTGTAAGGGGAGTGGGTGGGAGGATAGGCCCAGTTATTAAAAGAACAAAGGGGAGAGTAAGAAAACTACAGCAAGCTGTCACACACAATAATATCAATGTAATTTCCTTCCATTTCTGATTAACAAGCAGTGTCACTCCTGGGGCCTTTAGGGGGTGGACTCTAGCTGGAGGAAGTGGGTGCCTGAGGGTGGTCCTGGAGGATTCAGTTCTCTCCACACCTCCCCTCTGCTTCCTGGTCCAATCAGATGCACGCAAACTCAGGCAGGTAGGGGCAAGCCCCTTGTACCACCACGTCTTCCCAGCCAGGGTGGTCTAGGACCATACACCCTTAAATCCTGAGTCAAAATAAATCCTCCCTGTCTTTTTGATTGTTTTGTTTTGGTTTCTCAAGACAGGGTTTCTCTGTATTGTTTTGGAGCCTGTCCTGGAACTCCCTCGGTAGACCAGACTGGCCTCGAACTCACAGAGATCCGCCTGCCTCTGCCTCCCGAGTGCTGGGATTAAAGGCGAGAGCCACCAACACCTGGCCTTCTCCCTGTCTTAAATGACTTCTTGACAGGGATTTGTCCATAACCATGAGAGAAATAGATATCAGAAAAAGTTTGTTGGCTTTTATCCTGGGACTGGGGTTCCATCTTCCTAGACTGTCTTTAGAGGTAACGGCACGATTCCTTTCCTCTTTGCAGATGAAGTGGGCACCTCAGTGGATGAACAATGTTCTGTTTCTGGGTGTAGACTCTACTTCACGCTGCTGGGTTCTCTTAGCAGACCATGGGGCACAGTTTATTTAGGATGTGCATCAACCTGTGTAAGTACTGTTTACCTGCAGGTTTTTCTCTGTTATCTTCTGCATCAGGGTAGCGCTAACCTAAAAGAGTGAGCTGGGGACTGTCTGTCCTTCCCTGAGTTCTGTTACAGTTCCTGCAACTCTTTTTTGGGAGTTTGGTTGGGAGGATTTGTTCTTGAAGCCATCTGGCATGGTGACTGTTTCTAAGGCTATAGCTTTGGCTAGTGTGGCAGAGAGTGCTAATTGTACACTAACAGGTTGTCTTTCTGCAATCAGGGAGCCCTGGGCTTGTAGGTGGATACAAATGCTTGGAATGAGACATTTGTCCTAACTCACTTCTCTCATGGCGCCATGTGGCTGCGTTTCCAAGTTCAAACTGTGAGAGATTCCAGGACGTGGATTGCAGAGACCAGTGATGTGTGGGCACCACTCTGGCATGGGCCTGGAAATGTGGGCGCATTCTTCTCCCCTCAGTCTGATGCTTCCTGGAAGGGGGCCTGGTGGGGAGGTAGCTGGAAGCAGGTTGGCCTGGCACACCCAGAAAGCAGAGCATGTGCCAGCTCTGGACCGTGGCTCGACTGGGAAACTTTGTCTGGCTTGAGTCACTCCCTCTGTGGTTTGCTACGACCAGAGTCTATGCGTAATGAAGTCATAAGCTACTCTTTCATAATGCCTGTAACCTTCAGCTGGAGACCATGTGCCTCTTTTTACGTGATATGTCTTTGCAGAAAGTTCTCATCTCATCTTGAGTTTAAATGTATCGATGTATAGTTACAATGTTTCTTTAGTCTAAAAATTGGCCCTGGCTCTAGTTTCATCACATTCACTCTCCTTCCTTCTCAATAGGATCTCATATGGCAAAGGCTGTCCTTGAATTTGCTACATAGACAAGAATGACCTTGCATTGAAGTCCTCCTGCCTCTCCCTCCTAAGTGTTTACAGGCAAACACACTATTGCAGTTAATGTGGGACAACCCAGTGCTTCCTCTATGCTAAGCAAGCCCTCTACAATCTGAGATACATCCCCAGCCCTTCTTTTTCATTTCCTTCATGTCTGTTTCCTCCCCAGTGCCCTCCCTCACCCCCTTCTCCCTCTGGCCCTCCCTCATCAGTACCTAGATTTCTCACCTTTTTAAAAAAAATTTTTTTTTGGTTTTACGAGACAGGGTTTCTCTGTATTGTTTTGGAGGCTGTCGGTCCAGCCCAGCCTTGAACTCACAGAGATCCGCCTGCCTCTGCCTCCCGAGTGCTGGGATTAAAGGTGTAGGCCACCAACGCCCGGCTTACCTTTTTAAATTTTTTTTAAAAAATGCATTGATTTTTATTTTATGTATGTGTCTTGTCTACATGTACATCTGTGCAGAACCTAAAGAGGCCAGGAGAGGGCATCAGATCCCCTGGGACTGGAGTTACAGATGGTTGTTAGCAGTCATGTGGGTGTTAGGAATTGAACCTGGATACCCTGCAATAGCAACCAGTGGTCTTAATCACTGAGCCATCTCCCTAGCCTTTTCTTGTGTTTTATTGCAAGCATGCTTGCTAGTTAAACTGGAGCAGTCACACTTTTCTGGTTCCTCTGCTTGGGATGTTCTTCCCAGGTTCCTGCATGGCTCTATCCTCTATGGGAAATGCTGGATGGCAAACTAACTTAACCTGGAGCTCTGGGTGTGCTTTATGTAACACACACACACACACACACACACATGCACGCACGCACGCACGCACGCATGCATACGCGCTCCTCACTGTCATCAGATGTATGTAGATTTTACTTGCCTGTGTTTGTTCTGTTTTTTATATCTCCTCTCTACTTCCTCCTCTAATGTCTATGAGGGCAGAACCGCATCTGAGACAGCTAGAGTATACATTCCAGAATTCTTCCATGAACTGATGAAGCATGCATTCCAAAAGGGTGACTGCTTTCTGAGGCCCAGGCTTCCCTTTTTATTGGCTGTCACTCATTTTGTTTCCTGCCTTTATCAACTTCTGCTTTTGTTTATTAATCTCTTCTGTCTTTCGGCTTATTGTTCCTCCCACCTCTCCACTCCCCAGAGTTAAATGTTTGGTTTCGTTTCAATCTTTCTTATTTCAACTAGAGGGTTTATGACTACTGATTTTCCTCAGGGTCTTATTTTGCCTGGAAAACGTTGCTCATTATGCAATACCTCCTTTATTGTTCACATCTAAATAGTTTTTAATTTCAGCTTGTTTTTTTTTTTTTTTTTGTCTGTGACCTGTGAGTATTTGGAAGGCATCTGACTATGTCAAGGCAGATAGACTTTATTTCACCGTCTTTAATGTTGCTGTCATTTCCCGCTTTTAATGAGTTGCAGCCAGAAAAGCAGTTTGCATTGTCTCTCTCTTTTTTTTTTTAAAGATATTTCCTAGCATATCCCATGATTGGATTTACAAGCAATCTGTTACAAGCATAAAGGAACCTAAGAAAAGACAACCTCAAAATTTGGAATTCGGGGCACCCGTTTACACTGAGCATGTAAAGTTATGCCGCGTAGGTCTCCCTTCACTTTTCTCTGTCCTTGACCCGTTCATTAAAAAAAAGTATTAAAAAGGACCACTCTTCTAATTTTACCTGAAATATCCTGCTTTACTCCTATTCTTATTAAAATTTTCAAATCATTATTTGCACGTGCAACAATTTCCTGACGGTCACATCTTAGCCAGTAAACGTTGATCTGCGGGAGACGTTTCCTCACTTCCTGTTTCAGTTATGTTTAGGCAGTCACACAGCTTCCTTCTGCTAACGATCTCCCTATCTTCACTCATGCCTCAGGGTCCAGGCCATTCACCCCGCTTTTCAGTTCCTCCACCATGAAAGAGCATACATCTGGATGCGTGAAGACACACTCTCAGTCTCTGAGTGCTAATAAAAGCATTGAATGCGTTCGCATTCGTTTTTCCACTAATCTTGTTAGGAGTTGTCCAGCTGGCCTGCTTTGCTCCCTCTGGCTTTTTGTGACTCTCTCTTGGCTCTGATCTAGAAGTTCTAATTCTTCTTCAGGGGCATTAGCATTTACCCTCTCACAGAACATCACTTAAACCAATCTTCCCATTGTCACCCAGGATGAATAGTCTTATTCTGCACAGAT